CACAAGCGTTAGGCTGTGGAGCCAAAGAGATGAGAAAGAATCAAAGAATAGCACAGTTGGGAAGAACTTTGGAGGTCTTCTACTCCAACCCACCACTCAAGCTGGAAACCTTATATTGTCCAATCTCTTCTTCACAACCTCCAGTGTTGGAGCACCTAGAACTTCTGAAGGCAGGTCCTTCCACTGATTTGTTCTGTCAGGAAATTTCTCCTTAGTTCTAGGTTGGTTCTTTCCTTGATTAGTTTCCATCCATAAGAAGCTATGTACACTGGGCACCTGGGTCCAAGTTCAAAGCCAGTAAGGAAAAATGCACCCCAACCAAAGGAATCAGTATGGAGAAAAAAATGAGAGTCTTATTTGTATTGCTAGTTCATGGTTTAGCGCAAGGCTCTTCAAACTTGGCAAGTTTAAGACTTGTGGACTTCAACTCCCAGAATTCCTGAGCTAACATGACTGGAAGAGGAATTCTGAGAGTTGAAGTCAAGTCTTAAAGCTGTCAAGTTTGAAGACCCCTGGTTTAGTGAATCACTATACCAATGCATACGGAGAAGAATAGAATAGAATAGAATAACAGAGTTGGAAGGGACCTTGGAGGTCTTCTAGTCCAACCCCTTGCTTAAGCAGGAAACCCTCTACCATTTCAGACAAATGGTTGTCCAATCTCTTCTTAAAAACTTCCAGTGTTGGAGCATTTACAACTTCTGGAGGCAAGTTGTTCCACTGATTAATTGTTCTAACTGTCAGGAAAGAAAAGAGCAATACAAATTCCATTGCAAAATGCCAAAGGCATCACTGGCTGAATTTCCTGGCACATATGATCCAAGGAAATACTTCTGGAGATAAAAATAAGCTCCATGTGCTTTTCTCTGTACTTTAAAGAAACAAATGAGGACTTTAAGTATGCAACCTAAATAAGAATGCTAAGAATGCTGAATACTGCAGCAGGTAGTGAGGTCCCATGCTGCCTGTGCCACCCAGCTTTTTATATTTTGAGGTTTCTTGAAATCCTAGACCAGAAGAAGAAAACACTACTAGCATTGTTTTCTCCCCTGATCTTTCTTGCTATCTGCTTCTTCCTGTCCTTACCACACCGTCTCTTACCGTGCTTTGTATTTCCACAGCAATCCCACGCTGCTGCAAACACTTCAGGATATCGGGATCCAGCCTCTCTACTTTAGCTCCCGTTCCCAGGACCACAATTTCTAGGACAACCAACAGGTGAAGGCAGGGAAGGATGGTGAGATGACATTTCCTTCTTAAGACTGAAACTGACAAAAGCCCTCTTAAAGCCCAGCCCAAGATTCACAGTTATTTTGTACCTATTTTGGGCTCCAGCATATAGAACAGAGTAAGACTCTCTGGAATAATATCTTTATATGTGCCAACCTGGAATTTAAAACAAAATTATAAAAAAACAAACTCTTCCATTAGTGAATACGCAGCGTAACAAAAATCACTGTTTCTCATCCTTGACCACTTGAAGATGTATGGACTTCAATTACCAGAATTCTCCAGCAGGCATGTTGAAGTCCACACATCTCAAGTTGGCAAAGGTTGAGAAACACTGCTTTATCTAGACCAGTGATCCCCAACCTTTTTGACGCCGCGGCCCGGTACCGGCATCAGCTGGGCGCCGCCATCTTTTTTTGACGAAAAAGTGCTTCCAGTGACCTCACCGGAAGCACTTTTTCGTCAAAAAAGATGGCGGCGCCAGCGCTTCCGGTGAGGTTTTTCGGGTAGAAATGGCTTTCTACCCGGAAAAGCTCACCGGAAGCGCTGGTGCCGCCATCTTTTTTTGATGAAAAAGTGCTTCCGGTGAGCTTTCTCCCCGGAAAAGCTCACCGGAAGCACTTTTTTACCAAAAAAAAGATGGTGGCGCCCAGCAACCAGCGGCCCGGTAAGACTTGTTCCGCGGACCGGGACCGGTCCACGGACCGGCGGTTGGGGACCCCTGATCTAGACTGTATCAGTGATGGGAAACCTTTTTGTTGTGGTGTGCCAAAAATGCGCATGCGATAGCGTGCATGTGCCGGCACCCACAATGCAATGCAGCCTGCCCCCCTGTGCATGCACGCGCAACACCCCCGCCCTGCCCCCTTACCTGCACTGTGCTTGCGTGCATGCCAGCTGATTTTGCTTGCCAGCTGATTTTCGGCCTGTTAGAGGCTGTTTTCGCCCTCCTGGATGCTCGAGGGAAGCCTCTGCAGGTCGAAAAACGGCCCTTCAGGAAATACCGGAAGTGCCTGTTTTCAGCCCCGAGGGGGCCTCTGGAGCCTGGGGGAGGCCTGTTTTCGCCCTCCTGGAGACACAAGGAAAGTCTCAGGAGTCTCGGGAGGCTGAAAAGGGGCCTTTTTCGGCACTTCTGGTATTTCCAGTAGGCCCGTTTTTCGGCCTCCCGAGGCTGCAGAGGCTTCCCTTGAGCCTCCAGGAGGGCGAAAACAGCCTCAAACGGGGCAAAAATCAGCTGGGAGGCACGTGCATGCACAGTGCAGGTAAGTTTGGCTGGAGCTCGCATGCCCGCACAAATGGCTCTGTGTGCCACCTGTGGCACGCGTGCCATTACGGTTTGCCATTACGGGACTATATGATCTCTGAAGGCGAGCAGGAGTTTTATGCATTAAAACACATCCAAGTTTCCACTAAAAGCATTATTCTACGTGAATCGCAAACTGGCACGTTACAGGGGTCCTTACTGAATGATGCTCACTCAGCAACCATTCAAACTCGTGATGGCACTAAATGAGTAGTAGTTATGACGGATCTTAGAAAATCTCACTGCTGCAGTGACCTTGTAGTCACATGATCACAACCCAATTGTTCAGCCACCAGCCCTGATTTCTGACTATCACAGCGCCCCAATATCATGTGAACATACTTGGCAGTTTCCCACAAGCAAAGTCATTTGGGAAGCCAGCAGGAACTGCTGGAACTGCCATCGCTAAGCGGAGTCATTGCGCTTTACAAAAATATTGCTTAGTAATGGAAGTTCCCATCATTAAGCAAGGACTCACTGCAAATGGATTTAAGGAAAAATGTATTAAAATTAGAAAGTATATATCCTGAACTGAAGAGATTCATGTATCTCTATCAAGGAACTGAAAAAACTTAACTCACATTCCACTGCAGGATTGCTTGTGGCAAAATAGCGCAAGGGCCTACCACTGTGTTCCCATTGATGGAGAAACCATAATTAGTGCAATTTTCAATAAATATGATGTTTGGTGATTCTCTTTCCAAACGATGGAGTGTTGTTTTATGGAGAAGCTCATCATCGGAAGGCGTGAGGCGATGATTTCGCTGAGGTTGCCTGAAACTGAAAAGAGAGAGAGAGAGAATGTGAGATAATGGCAGTAGGCCTGACCAGTAAGTCAAAATGCCAGTTAACCAACTATACTTTTACAGGATAATTACATGAATCACTAAATGGAAACCCGAGGGGCTGCCATCTGGGGTTGACCCATATCCAAAAAGGACAGACAGAAAAGTAACCTTGAATGTTGGTTAAAAATCTGTGCGTGATGGGGAAATAAAATTGTGGTCTAGTTACAACTAGTCCTCAACTTACCATCACAACTGAACCCAAGGTTTCTGTTGCTAAGTGTGAATGTCATTGAGCTTTGCACCATTTTATGACCTTTCTTACGATGGTTGTTACGTGAACCACTGCAGCTGTTAAATTAGTAACATGGTTAAGTGTATCTGGCTTCCCCGTTGACTTTGCTTGTCAGGAGGTTGCAAACAGAGGACCACATGATTCTGGGACAGTGTAAGCGTCATAAATATGAGTCAGTTGCCAAGCATCTGAATTTTCATCATGTGACCATGGGGAGGCTGCAATGGTCATAAGTGTGAAAAGTCACATTTTGCAGTGACTGCTGTTAAGTTGAGGACTATCTGTATTTCTAGCTACAATGTGGAAAAAGAAACAGCATTTAAATTATAGTAGGCAGAAGGTTATTTGCCTTTGTCCTCTTATTTTAATCCAGAATAATTTACATCCCTTTATTGCAGTTTTCCCCTTTCCTTAAGCTATTTTAAGATGTGTGGACTTCAACTGCCAGAATACTCCAGCCAGCAATACAATTTTTATGAGGTAAGTGCTCTGGATGGAATGGCATAATTAAATAGTTTTGGCACTCTCTCTTCTGTAACATTCAACTGCCCCATTACTGTTGATACTACTGGTTTCTCAATGGTTTTAAAGCTCTTGAAACAAGGTACAGGTAATCCTCGACTTACAACAGTTAGTTTCAAAGTTACATCATCACTGAAAAAAGCGACCTATGTGACAGGACCATTTTTTCACACTTGCAGCCATCACAGAATCCCCAAGATCATGTGATCAAAATTCAGATGCCTGGCAGTCGGTTCGTATTTATGACAATTGCAGGTGGGGCATGTGATCGATTCCCTTTTGCGACCTTCTGATAAGCGAAGTCAGGCAGGAAGCCAGATTCATTTAACCACCATGTTGTTTATATTTACCAGCAGCAGGGATTCACTGAACAGGGGTGTGGCAAGAGAAGTCATAAAATATGAGGCAAAACTCATTCAACCAGCTTAGCAACAGAAATTTGGGGCTCAATTGTGCTCTTAAGTTGAGGTCTGCCTGCAATTACAAATGGCTTTGAAAAGGGTGTGCATGTAAAACAGTGTACACTCCCCCACCCCCAAACTCCCTTCCAAATGAGTCGTGCACTGGGTGAGGAAAGAGCCTTTCCCTTCCCTTCCCTTCCCTTCCCTTCCCAGAGGATTCCTCTGCATCCTGACAAGCAGATCTCCAACATCAAATCCGATTTAAACTCAGACTCCAACCATGGTTTACAAATCCCGCCAGAACAGTTGCCGGGCAACTTTCTACGTCACAACTAAACCAAGCCAGTTCTTTTTTTTCCCCCCTTCCTTCGCAGGAAAAATGAGAGAGAGAGAGAGATTTAATTCCCCCCTGCAGGCAAGCTCCTACTGGGGAGGAGTTTTCACAGCCACATGTGTAGAGAGTTTGCACTCCCGCCTTCTCTGGACAGGCTCCTTCCGCCCTTCCCCAGGATCGAAACGGCGTTTCTCCGAGCGCCCCTGTCGAAATCCGGCTTGCTGAGCTTCAGCCAAGGTCAGTTGGGAGCCGAGCAGCCCCCGGGCATTTCTTTCGCGGGCACGGCGGGAGGCGAGGAGCGGAGCGGCGGAGCCTCCCCAAGCGCGAGCCGAAACGCAGCTGCTGCAGCAAAGGGGCGACGGGCGCTTTTCGGCTGCAGCCCCGTTGGCTACACACTGACCTGCGAGTGAAAGCCGGCCTTGCTCTCCAGACGAGAGTGGAGCCCAGCGACCGGAGGGCAGCCATGAGAGCGGCGGGTAGAGCGGGCGGGGCCTGGCCGACGACCGCCCTCTCGCGGTCGTCGGAGCGAGGGCGCGCAGCCGTCCACATGCCGCTTTGTCCAATCAATCAATCAATCAGCTTAGAGCTGGAAGGGACCTTGGAGGTCTTCTAATCCAGGGGTCTCCAACCCCTTAGCAACTTTAAGCCTGGCGAAGTTCTGGGAGTTGAAGTCCTCCAGGCTTAAAGTTGCGAAGGTGTTGGAGACCCCTGGACTAGTCCAACCCCCTGCTCAAGCGGGAGATCCTATACTATTTCAGTCTCTTCTTTAAAAACTTCCTAACTTTAAACTGTCTACCGTGGACCTCACCCCATTCCTAAGAGGCCTGTAAGGGGGCATGCATAAGCGCACCAGCGTGCCTACCATCTCTGTCCTACGGTTCCCATTTATTCATGCTCATGTATTATCTGTATAGTTATACCTGTTTATACTGATATGTTTATGTGTTATGTTCATACTTACGCTTGTTTTCTCATACATGCTTGACAAACTAACTAAATAAAAATAAATAAAACAAATGAAGCACCCACAATTTCTGGAGGCAAGCTGCTCCACTGGTTAATTGTCCTCACTGTTAGTAAGTTTCTCCTTAATTCCAGATTGCTTCTCTCCTTGATTAGTTTCCATCCATTGTTTCTTGTCCTGCCCTCTGGTGCTTTGGAGAATAGCTTGACTCCCTCTTCTTTATGGCAGCCCATGAGATATTGGATACATTCTTATTCCCACTGCAGAAGGCAGTGCTATATAAAGACGCATATCTACTAAAGGTAAGTCCTAAACTTACAAAACTTCATTTAGTGACTGTTCAAACTTACAATGGCACTGAAAAAACTGACTTGTGCTCGTTTTTTCACATTTACAACCATTGCAGCATCCCCATAATCAAATGATCAACGTTCAGCTGCTTTGCAACTGGTTCATATTTATGACGGTTGCAATGTCCTGGGCTCATGTGATTAGCTTTTGCGACCTACTGACAAGCAAAGTCAATGGGAAATCCAGATTCAATTAACAACCATTACTAACTTAATAACTGCAGTGATTCACTGTAGAGTTGTAATTGCAGGAATGTTCCAATCTCGGATGGCAAACCTCAGATAAAGAATGTTTCCAAGCAAATACAACGCAGGCAAACAAAGTCACTAATCTATGGATAAAGGAGGATTAGAGAGGGGAAGTAGACATATGTTAGACTTTAACTAGAGATAATTAATTGTATGGATTACTGTACTAAACAGTAACGAAAGTTAAGCAGTAACCAAAGTTAACCAATGATGGAGGATAACTAAAAATGTATATAAATACAAGACTATACTCCAATAAAGATTATCATAATTCAGTTCATGATCAAACAACTCGACTGCCTCGTCATTACAACAATTCACATAAGAACTGTGGCAAGAAAAGTCATAAAATGGGGCAAACAAATGTTTCACTTAGCAACATAACAAATGTTTCACTTCTGTTAGTGAACTTAACTAACAAAAGAAACTTAACAAATGTTTCACTTAGCAACATAAATTTTGGGTTCAATTGTAACTCGTAACTCAAGGACTACCTGTAAATGTATGTAACAGAGGGCACTGAGTTGGAGAAGGGCACTCTAGACCCTGTAGGCCTTTCACTCTGGATTTTGTTCAGAATAGTATCTAGCAACTTTGGTATTCAGATTTGAAGCAGGTTCTAATACTGCCCACCTCATACTAGTTTTGTTAATGCTGATTATGTACCAGTCATTTTCCACTTTTAGTGGGAACCGTATGAGGAAGTCCAGTTAAGCTCACCCAGGAATACTAGCCCTATCTTTGCTGTAAGGTTACATTAACAGAATCATGCAGGTCTGAAATAACATCTCTCTCCCATCGCCTTTACACTCCAAGGAAGAAGAGAGGGTGCTTTCTAAGATATTTGCCATGTCCTGTTCCTTCTGGAAGCTCAGCTGCCTTTTATCTGATCTTGCCTGGTCTGGGGTTCTTCCTTCTGTCTCCCAAGGTCTTTCTCACATACAATTACACCTAGCGACCACGTGGGTTTTCTCTGTGACGATCTGTCCCTAAGCTGATCCTTCAGCAATTCCAAAGGTGCATCCACCACCAAACACTGTGATGGCATCCATCCATCTTGTCCTCTTCTTTCTTTCCACCTTTCCCGGTATTAGAGTCTTTTCCAGAGTGCTGGGTCCTTGCATGTGTCTGAAGTAGGACAATGTGAACCTGGTCATTTGTGGCTTGAATGAAAACTGGATTGATTTGTTTGGAAGCTGGATCCATCAGCTTGTTTTCTTGGCTATCCAGCATCCAGGATACTTATTTTATTTTAATTTAATTTATTTGTCAAACATGTACAAGATAACAAGTATAAGTATGAACATAAACAAGAACAAAAGAAGTAAATACAGATAAACAGGGACAATACTCTCAGGAATCTTCTCCAATACAGTAATTTTTACTTATCTTAACAGTTTTTTGCTTCCAAGACACAAGAGGCAGCTTTCTCCAGCCAAGCGCAATTGGGGATCTTGGTCATGATTATCACTCATCCGCAGGATCCTAAGTAGCTAAAAAGAAAGTGAACCTTCAAATGTTCAAATAGGATCTTTAGAGAGACAGGCTAGGATTAGAAATTAGTCTTTAGAATATACCTTAAGTGGGTCCCAGTTACTTCTTTAGAATGTGGTACTTGAATGTGGAGTAATCATCTATTTTTCAACAAGTTTTTAAGATTAGAATTACTTTACTTTTTTACCTTTTTATTGTCATTGTACCTCATACAACGAAATCAAACACCATCTTCAGTGCACATCATGACCATGACCATGAAAATAAACACAAACACACATCCTTCACCCTCCACACATTGAACCGAACCCCCCCGACACCGCACCAACACTGCACTATATAGTAGAATTCAAGAGAGCTACTGCCCTAGGATATAGAAGCTGTTTTTCAGCCTATTTGCCCTTGTAATAATTCTTTAATAATTCTTTATTGGCCAAGTGTGATTGGACACACAAGGGATTTGTCTTGGTGCAAATGCTCTCAGTGTACATAAAAGAAAAGATACATTCATCAAGAGTCAAGAATCATAAGGTACAACACTTAATAATAAAAAAACAAGTTTTTATGTTATTGTCTAGAGGCTGAAAAGTAAAACTAATTTTCACTTAAAGTCATCTTTTCAGTGTCTTGATTCCTAATATAGGTAGTCCTCAACGTACGACTAACACTGGGATCAGAATTTCTGTTGCTAAGCAAGGGTGGTGGTTAAATGAGTGGCAGCCATTTTTTAATATATTTTTTTTGCCACAACTGTTAAGGTAAATCGTATCAGTTGTTAAGTGAATAATGTGGTCTTTAAATGAATCCCCATTGACTTTGCTTGTCGGAAACCAGCTGGAAAAGTCGTAAAATGGCAATCACATGATCCAGGGATGGCTGTGATCATTGTAGATACATGTTGATTGACAAGCACCCAAACTTTGATCACCATGACTGTGGAGATGCTGTGACAGTCATAAGGCCAACGACTGATCATAAGTCACTTTTTTCAGTGCCATTGTTAACAGCCACTAAACGAATGGTTATAAATCAAGGGCTACTTGTATACTAAGGCAGAAATGTCTCCCTCAAGCATCTAAAATAATTCTCACCCAAGGTTTCTTTCTTGTGCTACCACCAGATGGAGCTGAGTTTTATGGATAAGGAAACATTGAATGTTAATAGCCCTGCATTTAAAATGAAGGAAAACAAAAGAGTAATTTTAGATGTGTTTGGTTTGGTTTTATGGCTATTGAAGTGCTGGGGATTTCACAACTAATGGTACCACTTCAATGTCTTGAAAACATAGACAATGCACTTCTCCCAAATGACAGCCATTGTAAAAACTTTCACTTAGTTGGATCTCTTTATTTATAGCAAGAAGAGGCTAAGTAATATAGTAGTATAAGTTGCCTTTTAATCCCTCAAACCCTCCCCCATCATGCCAATTAATTAAACACAAGGGCCTTGCCAGCTACCTATATGTGTACATGGCTTATATGAATTTATTTTAAAAATATGCCAAGGCGTTTTCTAGTGCTTTCAGAATAGGGTGAAAGCACAAAAGATATGCTTTTAAATACAGCAATAGAATAAATTCAAATATAAAATCCAACCAACCAACCAAGAAAAAAAAAATCCAATCAACCAAAGTTACATTTATGTTTTTTACCTGGATTGGGGCTGAAAGGCGAAAACGGAAGCAATATGCTCCATCCCAATAATTGGGTAGACCAGGTTGCCCTGACAGACCGGTTCTACCTGAGAAAAAACAATAAACCAAAGGGAAATCCATGGCCAAATGAAAAACAAAAGAGAAGCGGGTTTTCTTTTTCAGTACAAGTAGAAGTCAATTTGGTGTAGTGGTTCAGGTGATGGCCTACAAACCAGGAGGCGGTGTGTTCTAGTCCTGCCTGAAGCATGAAAGCCATCTGGCTGACTTTGGGCCACTCACTCTCAATCCTATTCACCTCACATGGTTGTTGTGTGGAAAATAGGAGGAGGAAGGAATATTTGATGTATTTACTGCCTTGAGTTCCTTATAAAGTAACAAAGGCAGGATAAAAATCTAAAATATTCACCGTGTTTCATCATACTATTGTTTTATTTATTGATGAAGCATATTGTTTTGCACTAAGAAATTGAGATATATACATACTGTAGCTTGCTGCTCTGCTGTGTAATCATTACAGAAGACCTCAAAAATCTGTTAGGTTGAGAAATAGTAATTGGCAAGTTTCCTTTTTCCATCGTTCTAGCCCAATTTTCCTCCAAACTGGGGTCCCCTGGATAAGTGGCATCCAGAATTTTCCTAAATCTTAGAGGCACTGGCTTGGAAAAGTCTGTTTTAACTAAGATACCATGCCATTAAAGGTCTACCTATATTGCCTATTGCCAAATGTCTGCCTGTTTTATTTTGGTATAGACACTAACTCTACACAGATGGTGAATGCATGACTTATGCTGTACTCTTATATTGATGCTCCGTTTGCTTTTCCAGTTCCAGAATTTGTGTCATTCATTACAGGTAGTCCTCAACTTACAACCCATTTAATTAGGGACCGTTCAAAGTTACAACGGCACTGGAAAAAAATTGACTTACGACAGTTTTTTCGCAATTACGAACATTGCAGCTTTCACATGGTCACATGATCAAAATGTGGGCGCTTGGCAACTGGCCTGTATTTACGACAGTAGCACAGTCCTGGGGTCATGTGATCATAGTTTGTGACCTTCCCAGCCAGCTTCTGATAAGCCAAGTCAATGGGGGAAACCAAATTCCCTTAATGATTCAGTTAACTGCAATGATTTGTTTAACAACTGTGGCAAAAAGAAATCATACAATGGGGCGCAACTCACTGAACAACTGCCTTGCTTAGCAATGGAAATTCTGGGCTCAATTGTGTTCGTAAGTCAAGGACTACCTGTATGTAACGTTTTTCAAATTATAAGCTTTGTTCAATCCTCGTGAGACAAACTTTCAGGCTGTAGCTTGAAAATCTTCCTCCCTCGCTTTTTTGGGGAGAAAGAGACATTGACAAACTGACTATTTAGTCTCAGCATCACCACTGTCTCTAGCTACCCTGAGAAAACACTGGTCCTATCTTGCGATAAAACTACAGTCTGAGTTCAAAACGTTGGATTTTTCCTCCAATGGGTTTTAGGTTCTGCCTATCTGACGGATCAACTTACATTATGATGATGCATTGGTGATTTTACCTAGTTTGTGTAAAGAAAGCTCTGCAGGAAAAGAACCAAACTCAGAGAGCACCAAGCAGCCCTCAACTTACATATTTTTTTTCATGAATCCCATTCAATCTAAGCTACAATCACTAATGAAGTCTCATGTAAGTCCAACCCTTATTTGAAACACAGGGTTTTTGCTAAGCAAAAACCACTGGCAACCCTGCTTGTAAATGAAGTTTGCCCATCTGTACATCATGCCCAGTTCAATCCTTAACTAATTTTAGGTGAGTTTAGTTAATTGTCCCCAGAACAGACTCTTAATTGTTCTAGTGTCACGTTACATATATTCCTGAGAAGGTGGATTGGGAGCAATTTATTCTTTCCTTTTTTTTACCCTTCTCTTTTTTAACAGTCCTATATTATTATTTAAAAATAAACGAGGAAAAAAGCTGAAAGATAACCAGTAATTAAAGTATCTGTACTCCCCTGGGGGTAATTAAGAAGCTATACATCAGTAATCTTTCAGCTATAAACAATGAGATGAAATCCAAGGGCTGGATTTAATGATGGAAAGGCCCTTTGCTGAATGTATTTTCAAATAAACATTAGACAAGTCCTAGCCAAGGGGACAGATACAGCGGGATAACATAGCATTATATTAAGTGCTCTTTAGAATATTCATTTCAGTTTGGTCTCTGGAGAACAGCACTGGACTGATTTCTCATCAGCTCCTGGTGTGGAAACCACCACCTTCAGACCAAAATACTGAGAGTCAGACAGGAATGGCCAATGGTACGGCACATAATGACTGGCAGGGCACAGAACTGGATGAAGGCTACAGTGACCTGGGTTGTGATTCGGGGGACTTTTAATCCAAATTTCAAGGGGAAACTGGGTGCTTCTTTGTTTATACTCTGTGACTCAATTTTAGATTGCACACGATGGTTTTCCTTGCTAGAACCTGCTCAGCAATGGTGCTCTGTCCAGCCATGCTCAAATTCAGTGATGCTGTCAGAAGAAGCCCTGAGACCTACAACAACAACAGCAGCAGCAACAACAACAACAGTTTGCAGCCTTAAGGCTAGAAGTTGCCACCTGCCATGGAAAGAGCTGAAGAAGGAACCTTGCCTCTAATCTATGCCAGGACTTAGTGAAACTCCAGAGGAAGATCCTAGGTTGCTCTTAAGGTGGGGGCTTCCTCAGCTGCAGAATCAGTGGAGGTAAAGGGTTAAATTCACATTAAAAACTATTTTTCTTTTATGTGGTGAATCAGGCAAACACGCCAACTTGAATTTCAGTCTTTATGTCTCCTGAGGATAGTTGGCACCCTGGCAACTTTCCTCCCTATACTTTTCACACCTGCCCTGCATCCCCCATCAATCTAAACGAGAAGGGGTGGAAAACACCAAACCTTGGGGACGCTGGGGTATTTCCACCAGCGGTAGTGGTGGCAGCACCTGCATGTTAATTGAGAACACAGATACTAATAAATTTCACTCTGTCCAACAACAGATGGGTAAGCATGTTTATGAAATGTCATAATACGGTATGGTATTACAGTAAGGTTGCCAGGCTGAGTTTGGGCTGCAAAATTCTGAATGAGCACTGGGTAAGAACAAAGAAATACAACAGCCTTAAACAAATTTATGTCATTTACTGGTTATCCAGACTTTTGCAGCCTAGATCTGGAAGCTGCTCACAGCAAAGCAGACTCTGGCAAAATAGTTCATACGTAACCATAATTCAAATGCTGGGTGTGATGTTTACTGAGAGACTGTTAAACCAGTGCCAGATGGTTTCCAACCAGAGAAGACAACTAACTCCCTACTACGCAAGCAACAGCCCAGAGGGACTTTCTATTCAGAATTGGATAGATTGGGAGGTTTCTTTTAACATTTATTTGAATTCTGCTTTGTATCCATCACTAGTTAATAGAACAACGCTGCTAGCATGGGAAACAGATCTTACAACAAGGTTGAGTGTGTACTTTGCCCTCACATTTGCACCAACATAGGCTCCAGCAAATATGCACACAACGTTAGAGATACTTTCATCCAGTGCATGGGTGTCAGACTCATGTCATCACGTGATGTATAGTAATTCCCCCCCTTTGCTAAACCGGGGTGGGCATGACGCATCTGGCCCGCGGGCCGCAAGTTTGACACCTCTGATTACTTCGATATCAGCCATCTTCTGCCGGCAATGTCCATCTAGATGTTATTTATTTGTTTATATATTTATATGCCACCCATCTCACCAATGGCAGTATTTTTAACCTTGCAGGGGTACACAAAAATAGCTGTTTTGGAGCAAGGAAATTTTACCAGCACAATTGAGCATGACACTGGTGAACTCACACATAGAGACAGATTTCTGATAATCTCAAAAGATCTCAACAAACACAATGGGTTTTTAACTCGTTACGATTGCTAATTGATGAAGCACAATTTGGGTTATAAAATGCCTGCAAGAAAATTATCTGAAGGTCAGGGAGTACTAAAGACTGTACAGTTCTACTCCAAGCTACGAATATTCTCTTCTCTTGAAAAACAACCCAGCCTGGTGGCCACCTTTAAAACCTTGAAGAATTCCACTTGTTTCTTAGCAGGGAAGCCAAGAATATTTTGACAAGACAAGGGTAAGGAATTCAAAATTTGCACAGTGGCAATAAGGATCTGCAATCATTGTTGTGATAATATTTCTCTCGAGTTTGCTGTCTTGTCTCAGTTAGGAGGCTTAGGAGATTAGAGAGAGATTGATGCCCAGCACACCTGTACATTGGATCAGAGCCATGCCTGAAACCCAATTCCCCTAAGCTGCTTGGTGGGGGTCTTGTGTTTCCTGAGTCACTGCATTAATAGGCTGGGAGGCAGACCCGATCCCTCTGTTGCCTCCTCCTTCCTACTGGCATCCTTTGAAGCCATCTGCGATCATCTGGATGCTGAAGCCTCTTTGGCGCCTTGCATTTCTGTTTCTTCTTTCTCTCTCAGACATGCACCCGTATGCACCTTGGTTTAAGACGAAAGCTGTAATTAAACAAAGCCTTTCTCCTCCCAGTTAATTTTATTTGGGTTGTGATATATTCATCTGGGGAGAGGCATGAGTATGTGTAAGGCAGAATGGAGACTTTATTGTACCTACTTGGATTTTCTGCAGCTGCGGTGTGTGGAATAAGATCGTCAACAAGGGCTTGAAGAATAAGGAGCCTATTATTTGAAATAAAAATGACATGTAATCTAGGAAGGGGTGATGGATGGTCTACTTAGGGAGAAGGCAAAAGCTGAGACAAGCACAGCTCCCTACAACAGAATCCAGTCTAACACCAGGCAGAGACAAAGTTCTCCTGCTTCATTTGCTACAAAATCTGTGTATATAAATTAAAGAGGAAAAAAAAAAACACCCTCAGTCCGGGTTGCCTTTTGAGAATAGCCTCAAACCCGAACTTGAACCAGCAAGTTGTCAATTTGATCTCACATACTAAAATAGATTCTTTAAAACTGAAAATAATCTCTCTCAAAAGAAAACTTTTCAAACAGCACCAGAAATATCATTCTAAAATATAGAACTCATGGCGGAAACCCCCCCCAAAAGGAAAAATGGTTGGTCTTCAAATTGGTGTAGCAGCACAAATTCATCAGGATTACACGCAAAGAAAACTTGTTTTGAAGGAAAGGACAATAATATACTGCTCAAAAAAATAAAGGGAACACTTAAACAAAACAATGTAACTCCAAGTCAATCACACTTCTGTGAAATCAAACTGTCCACTTAGGTAGCAACACTGATTGACAATCAATTTCACATGCTTCTTGTGCAAATGGAATAGACAACAGGTGGAAAGCATAGGTAGTTAGCAAGACATCCCCAATAAAGGAGTGGTTCTGCAGGTGGTGACCACAGACCACTTCTCAGTTCCTATGCTTTCTGGCTGATGGTTTGGTCACTTTTGAATGCTGGCGGTGCTTTCACTCTAGTGGTAGCATGAGACAGAGTCTACAACCCACACAAGTGGCTCAGGTAGTGCAGCTCATCCAGGATGGCACATCAATGCGAGCTGTGGCAAGAAGGTTTGCTGTGTCTGTCAGCGTAGTGTCCAGAGCATGGAGGCGCTACCAGGAGACAGGCCAGTACATCAGGAGATGTGGAGGAGGCCGTAGGAGGGCAACAACCCAGCATCAGGACTGCTACCTTCGCCTTTGTGCAAGGAGGGATAGGAGGAGCACTGCCAGAGCCCTGCAAAATGACCTCCAGCGGGCCACAAATGTGCATGTGGCTGCTCAAATGGTAAGAAATAGACTCCATAAGGGTGGTATTAGGGCCCGACATCCACAGGTGGGGGTTGTGCTAACAGCCCAACACCGTGCAGGACGTTTGGCATTTGCCAGAGAACACCAAGATTGGCAAATTGCCACTGGCGCCCTGTGCTTTTCACAGATGAAAGCAGGTTCACACTGAGCACATGTGACAGACGTGACAGGGTCTGGAGACGCCGTAGAGAACGTTCTGCTGCCTGCAACATCCTCCAGCATGACCGGTTTGGCAGTGGGTCAGTAATGGTGTGGGGTGGCATTTCTTTAGGGGGCTGCACAGCCCTCCATGTGCTCGCCAGAGGTAGCCTGACTGCCATTAGGTACCGAGATGAGATCCTCAGACCCCCTGTGAGACCATATGCTGGTGCGGTTGGCCCTGGGTTCTTCCTAATGCAAGACAATGCTAGACCTCATGTGGCTGGAGTGTGTCAGCAGTTCCTGCAAGACGAAGGCATTCATGCTATGGACTGGCCCACCCGTTCCCCAGACCTGAATCCAATTGAGCACATTTGGGACATCATGTCTCGCTCCATCCACCAATGCCACGTTGCACCACAGACTGTCCAGGAGTTGGGGGATGCTTTAGTCCAGGTGTGGGAGGAGTTTCCTAAGGAGACCATCCTCCACCTCCTCAGGAGCATGCCCAGGCATTGTTGGGAGATCATACAGGCACATGGAGGCCACACACACTACTGAGCCTCATTTTGACTTGTTTTAAAGACATTACATCAAAGTTGGATCAGCCCGTAGTGTTGTTTTCCACTTTAATTTTGAGTGTCACTCCAAATCCAGACCTCCACGGGTTGCTAAAATTAATTTCCATTGATAATTTTTGTGTGATTTTGTTGTCAGCACATTCAACTATGTAATGAACAAAGTATTTAATAAGAATATTTCATTCATTCAGATCTCGGATGTCTTATTTTTGTGTTCCCTTTATTTTTTTGAGAAGTGTATATTTTCCTGTATGTTTAGAACTCCAGCCTGAAGAATTACACAACAGATTTGTCTAAAATATAAAAGATTTTGGAAAGCATTGGAATTGTTTTCCCTCTCTAAAAGGCTCTGTAGATAGTTGACCAGCTAAAATAGTTTGTTTAAACCTGTGGTCTGTGGATCCCTGGGGGGATCTCTATGTTGTTACGGGGGATCCACGAAAGGTTGAAGAAATGTTATGATTTAAATCTTCAGTTAAGTCTTAGGGGTCAGTGGCTATGATCTGTGGCCACAAAAGTCATTTAAAGGCAGTCTTGATGAAAAGAAGGTTGAGAACCACTGGTTTAACTCATTAAATCTTCAAAGCCTAACACAAGTGATTCTCCTTCTAGGAGCGATTTAAGTCAGCCATCCTAGAAGTCCGGTGTTTTTATTTGGTCTCATTGGACTGTATTCTCACCAAATAATGGTTTTACCCATTCATAAAATGGCCACTGCAAGAGCTTATCCAAAGCCCAAATGCCCATTTCTCAGGAATCCAATGATTGAGATAGCTCCATCACATCATATCATACCTGTGACTTTTCCCCTCTGTACAGGTAGACCAGCTTCCAAACAAAAGAATGGGCTTTAATCACCTGTTTTTTATTTTTTAAGGATTTTTTTGGGGGGCCTGCACAAATCCCAGGTACTTTCTCAAAAATAAGGATGATGTCAGAAGCTGTTTGGAGTTTGCACCTTGTCTACATTCTGTTCTTCTAAGTTAAAACTAATAAGGTGGGGCAGAGAATTTGGCAAGCACCGAGGGAGATGTCTTATGTATGTGGGCCTCACGTGGTCTAACCTTGGAGTTAAGGGATGAGTAGTTTGACCAGCACACAAGTATCTGCTTCTTCTCTCATTCACCAGCCCCACTTGCCCTTTCAGTTGGAAAAGGACATCACAAAGCTATATTCAAATATGCTCCATTCAGTCACTGTTAACTTAAATAACAGTTTATGGAATTAACTGATCCATATACCAACCCCTTGGGTGGGGTTCACATGACACCCTTTGCTAAAACATGATTGGCTAATTCATGGTTGAATATTCTATGTAAATACATACTCTGGGTTTACATAAAAGGCTTTTTGGAGGGGGGGGGGTCGGTGTAACTGAATTAACCCAGTTTTCCAAATTCACAGGATGCCCTGAACTATCACAGCTAAGCAACAGGGTTTCCACACCATTGTAGAAAAATGACTGCTTGGAAAAAAGCAATATTTAATGAAATTAGTAATAAGTTTGGAAAACGCAGTCTTGAATGTTGTAGGAAGTTTTTTAAAAAGCAATACTTAAAAGTCTAAAAAAGCAAGACTGATATTTTGGAAAAAGAAGTATTTAATAAAGTGAGTAGTAAATTTGGTGGGGAAATGTTAGTAGGCAGTAAGCTTGGAAAACTGTTGTAGGAAGTTTGAAAAAGGGCAATACTTTAATAGTAAGTCTGAAAAAGCAAGAATCTTATAGGGTTTTTTTTGGGGGGGGGAGTATTTAATAAAGTGTGTAGTAATTTTTTTTTTAAAAAAAGTATTTAATGAAGCGAGTTTGGCGCGTTGCATGGCAGCTGCTACCTAGAGCCGTAACGGAGGAGCACAAACTGTGTGTACAGAGAGAGGGGAAGGCCACGCAACCCCACGGCTGCCAGCAGGGCAATTCCCCTCCAAAGACCTGTCACCTCCGCCGACTCCAGCGGGCCCGTTCTTGCCAACCGGCCCGTCCAAAGAAGCTAGTAAGCCGCGATCCGTTCCCGGAGACTCTTCCACCGAAGCGGAGGCAATCAGACGCTCGGGCGGAGAGAGGGAAAAGCCGGGGGCCGTTGATGAGCTTGTAATAGGAGACAAGCGCCCGTGACCGCCGAGCCCAGGAGCAGGGCGGGCACAGCCCGGGAGCGACTTGTTGGCCAAGAAGTAATAGCAAAAGCGAAAGTAGCCTGCAAAGGCAGCCGCAACAGCACCGACGACAGCTGCCTAGCGAAAAGCAGAAGTTAGTTTGGACTTGGGGCGGGGGGAGGAGAAAAAAAACACCCCACAATAGGAAGGGGGGGGGATTCCTGCCTGCCCCAAACAGCCCTGATTGGTCGAGATGGGCTTCCCAGGAGGGGGAAAAATGCGTTGATCCTCTCCGCATAAAATACCCGGGAAGGAGCGGAGCAGAACGGTCCGGAGCGCAGCTTTTGCGCGCGCGGGGGGCGGCGGGCCGGTCAGACGGCTGTGTGGTCCCTGCAAAGCGAGGCCTCGCCCGGCCGTTGCTGACTTTTGGGACCGTCCAGCAGAGCCAAGCGAGACCACCTGCCTCCTGAAGCCGGCCAGGTGAGAGACGGAGAGGGAGGGAGGGAGGAAGAGACGGGTCTGCAAACGGGGCAGCGGGAGAGCCGCACGTGCTCCTGACAGGCGCGGGAGAAGCGAGACCCGCGAAAGCCCCGATTCCTCCCTGCAGGCGTTTCCACCGGTGACTTTGACTACGGGAGTTCAAAAGCGTTTCCAAGGGTGGCGCGGCTGAGCCGGGAGGCGGAAAGGATTCGCCGCTCTCCCCCGGCCCTGCGGCCAGGGTGCGGCCGGGTGAAGGAAGCGGAGCGTGGCCTTGAAGCAATGCAAGCGCCTTCCTTGCCACCAGGGTTGGCCCCCCCCCCCCCCCCCCCCATCTTCTTCAGGGTAACCTCTTCTCTCCCTTCGGCCGTGGGGTCCCTTTAGTAAGTGCAGCGCCTGGGAGAGCTTGCACCTGATGGCCGCATCTTGGTCTGCCGAGGAAAACATCCATCTGGGCTGTGAGGGCAGATGGCCTTTCCTGGTGCACCTGGGCAGGGCCACGAGAGAAAAAGAACAGAAGTGTGGGGGTCATTTATTTCTTTACTCCCCGCCTCGGGAGAACCGGCCAGGCTTCATCCCACCGCGCCAAAAGTACACTGTTCCCTTTGTCTTGCCAGAAATTAGTAGGGTGGCCTCAGGCGACCAATCTGCAAAATGGCAGTAACAGCAGTGGCCTTGGGAGGTTGATTGCCCCAAAATGAACCTCATACCACCCCCTAATTTCCAGGGCCAAAAGTATTCTAGATACAGATGGGCTTCTCAATAACTAATAGTTATTGTACAGGAAAGCAAATCTTACCAAAACGAAGGTACAAATAGCTACATGAGGTTGCTTCTTGAATTAAAAGAAAACATGTTGATCCAACTCAGTTTATTGGAACTGAATATACAAGTTCCTCTAAGAGTCCTTACTTCTGCCGGTTGCTTTCCATATTAAAAAATAGGAAGCTGTTATTTTGACTCTTTCCTGTCTCTTATTTATATATCTATTTTTAAGAAAAATGTATTTGGGGGGAAATAGAAGTGGGACAATGCCTCTGCTGCTAATGTAAATTACTTCCCCCTAAACTAGGGGAAAATTATCTTTTTTTTTTAATGAATAGAAAGTTTGTGCCTTTCAAGAGTTGAAGTTTTCCCCCTTCTTGCATTTCCGTTCCAGAAAAAGTTGCTACTGGTAGTTTCATCTGTTGAAATTATGCAACTTTTAAAGACATGGCTCCTTTCAGAAATAGACTCCTGTAGATCAGATTTCCCTTCTTGTAGTAAATTTTCCTGATCTCACATTGAGAATTTTGATTTTTAGAAGAAGAAAAAAACCCAGTGGCTTAGTCGGAACCTCATTTTCGGCATCTCTGCTGGAGAAACAGCAATTTTAAAAAGGTGTGAAATTGCTGTCTTTTAAATCGGGATGCCAGATTGGTGGCATCTACTTGGTTGAAGGTATTCACTAGTGTCTTCATAGTCAATGACAGCAAACTATTGCCACCATCTGCATTAAATAATGTTCTATTACATGGATGGTTTAGGTTGTCAAATGAGCTGAATTCAAAAGACTGGATTTCTGCTTTTTTTTTCATTATCTAGGAAAAGGAATTTCATTAGATACAAGTGGATGATTTTTCCTCTATTAAACAAACAGTGTTCTCTTTTGCATATGGCCAACCATGTGTAGATCGTATTGAAAAAGGAATAGTCTTCTGTAGAGCTAATGCCAATTCTAGGCATTCGGTGTGTAAGTAGCCATCATCACTGAATTAGAGAGCTTTTCAATACAAAAATACTCAGTTTAAGGTTAAGCAGAAAAAATGTCCAAATGGACTGAAATTTCACAGGTTTAAGAATAAGGTATTAGTTCCAGATTTAGTCATAACCTGCAAAGGGACTACTGAAATTGGCAGCTTGTAAATTACTCATGAATGACTTAAATCCCATAGATTTACTCTTGTTACGGTTACGCCTGGATCCAGCTCAACAACCACAGGCTGAATAATGATACAGAATGATTTGTGTGCAGATTGTTTTCAGGAGTTCAGAAATAACTTGGAGAGAATTTGGCACAAGACTGTTCCTCTTTTTTAAAAGAGGAAATTGAAGAGGTGGGTAGGAATTGTGTATGTGCATGTTCTGTTGATACTTGTCTCTTTGTGTCTTTTTAAAAAAAAGCTTGTGCACCACCTCCTTAAATGGCGTGGGTTGGCTTTGTGAAGATTTAAAGTGCAGTTTAGAAAATCTAAGATTGTGGCTATAATCTAAGGTTGGGAATAGTGATAAAGGGCATTAGACAAGGCTACTGGGCTTGTTCAGATAGGTGTTGGTTTGACTTCATTGAAACATGATGCATATGTGATGCAGAGCTCTGTTCTTTATAAAGGGATGTGGTTTTGATGTAAGTTGTGGCTTTTTAAGTAGCTGTACATATCAATTCAGTAAATGTTCAACATATCCTTTTGAGTGGGTTACTTTCAAATTAAAAACCTTTTTAGTTTTTTCAATCAGGCTTTTAAGAAGAGAGAACAGCATTTTCTGGTTTTCTTCTTAAAACTGAAAAATGTGCATACATACAGTATGTGCAAATCTCCACCCGTATTAGCAAAGGAATGTATGCAAAAAGTACTTAGGTTGAACTTCTATAACAGTGACTGGAAGCATTCCTACTTAATGTTACTGAACTACAGTTCCTAGCATGCCTCATTCTTGATCATACCGCTTAGAACACCTGTAGGGTCACTGCTTCCAATCTCTGCCATGTAATCTTATATTGCCATTCCAAAGCAGTACTACGGTATTAGTGCTTTACATCATTAACACTGCTATTCCAGTGTTTTTAATCCCACATGCCTCCATTGTCTACCTAACATGCTAAAATGGACAAAATTGAAATGAATATGGAGTACTATGAAAGGCTATACTTATAGCAATTGCAATACTTTTTCAGACTTCTTTTAAAAAGTGGACATCTTCAAAGACAATATATTCTAACCTCAGCAACTATTAAGCTGCATGAACTTCAACTCCCAGAATTCTCCAGCCAGTAGGCTGGCTGGGGAATTCTGGGCATCAACATACATGCCGTTTAAAGTTATTCAGATTGAGATCTACTGCTTTGGTCAGTTTAATACTGGAAGCGGTGCTGATAAATGGAGGATGACTACATTTGGATGTCTCGGTCTCCCAATACAGGTAGTCCTTGACTTACATTCTTTTAGTAACTGCTCAAAATTAAACAGCACTGAAAAAAATGACCATTTTTCACACTTAATGACCATTGCAGCATCCCTGTGGTCGTGTGCTCAAAATTAGGACACTTGGCAACTGGTATGTATTTATGAAGGCTGCAGTACCCCGGGATCATGGGATCACCTTTTCCAACCTTCTGAGAAGCAAAGTCAATGTGGAAGCCAGATTCACCTAACAACCATGTTACTAACATAACAATTGCAGCGATTCACTTAACAACTGTGGCAAGAAAGATCATAAAATGGGCCAAACTCACTTAATAATTATCTTGCTTAACAACAGCTCAGTTGTGATCATATGTTGAGGACTACCTGTAAAATGTGAGAAACTGAACATGCTTTCCCTTGGTATTTTCTGTAGTCCCAAAGGTGTTTTTTCAAGAGGCAACTAGACTTCCTGTTTTTTCTTTGAAGACGTTTCGCTTCTCAGCCAAGAAGTTTCTCCAGCTCTGAAAAAGGTGCCAGATTTAGCCAGAGCTGAAGAAGCTTCTTGGATGAGAAGTGAAACATCTTCAAAGAAAAACCAGAAAGTCCAGTTGCCTCTTGAAAAAACAACTTGGGATCAACCATGACCTGAATGACTAAGAATCTCCATAGACACTTTCTGTAAGAAGCTCGTGGATTTGGGCAGAGGGGTAAATGGGGTAGATGGGATGGGAATATCTTTTTGTATCTATATGCCCCATGGCATTCAATAAGGCTTATTTGCCAGGACATTCGTTATCTGGTGACAGAAGTTCTTATGGCCTTCCAGGGGGGTTGCCTGGCAACTAAGAAAGAAGGGCTCCCAAGTAGTAGAAGGGGTTGTATTATCCATCATGCTTCTGAAATTAGACAGGGGGCCTGAGAATCCTGTAACAACTCTACTACCAAAAGCAGTCAGGAACGTCACTCATTGCTTGTGCCGTTGATACAGCTGCCAAACAAATAACAAAAATAATGAAATTAATGAAATACTGGGCCCTTGCTGGCTCGTGCGGTTGGTAATTCAGCAATATATTCAGTTTCCCTAATCCTAGTGGTACTTAGATCCTTTCAAGGGTGCTATGATTTCAAGAGTAATACAGAAAAGTGGCAATAGCTCTGACTCCTTTTGTTTCTGGAGCTTGAGGAATTGGTGGAATATGTGTATTTATTGGAGCCAAAGATTTGGCTGCTGTTAGTGGTCCATTCTCCCAAAGCCAATATTTTCTCCTTCCTTGAGGTCCTTCTCCCTGGTCCTCCGTGTCAACCCTTCTCATTGTTCCCACGAGAGTCTCTTCCCCTGTAGGTTCTCTCCGTCTCTTATTTCCTGGCTACTAATAATACAATGCGTACATCTGCTGTGCAAGAGAAAGGGTTACAAGGAAGTTGAATAGCAATAAAAGATTTGAAATATGACCCTGGTAAATCCACTTGGCTGCACCCCAGAGAATATAATAGCTCTGGGGAACTTGGTGGCAACAGGCAGGAGGGAAGATCATGGATACAGGGGAAGGCTTCTCCCCCTCCCAATTTCTATCTTTTTTTTCTTTTCTTTTTTGTATTTTTTTATTTGGTTATAAAATAAAAGCTTTCTTCTTTTTTTCTTTTTAACATTTTTGTTTGGTTATAAAATAAAATATGATACAAAATACAATAGCAAATAGGAAAATGGTGGGGAGGAAGAGGGGGAAGAGAAGTAAGGAAGGATAAGAAAAAAAGAAAAAGACAACATTGACTTCCGACTCTCTCTGTTCCAGTAAAATAAGACATGAACATCAAATCACAACTTCTTGCTTTTTTATAATAATATGAACAAGCCATTTCTATAAAGATGTATCAATCTACTCAGTAAAACCAAAGTTTCATTCTTTCCCACTTCAAGCACAAAGTTCAGAAGTGGTCTCCATGTGGAAACAAAAGTACTTATGTTCTTTTCTTTAATCAAAAATTCAAAATAGTCAATTTTGCCATTTCAGCCAACTCCATCGACCATTTGTCCATAGTAGGAATCGAAGTATTCTTCCATTTTTGTGCATACAATGAATAGTCTTGCTGCTGTCAACATATATAGAAACAAAGTTCCCAAAAGGAAAAGTTCTGGTTTCATCTTTATCTCCATTTTCAAAATTTTCTGTATTAAAATATGAATCATACTCCTTTTTTTTCCTTTATCACATGTCCACCATAGATGATAAATAGTCTTTTCTTTACTTTTACACTTCCAACATTCATACAACATACCTTTATACATCTTAGATAACTTATCTGGTGTTAAATACCAACAATACATCATCTTATAGAAATTTTCTTATAGATTATAATTTAATGTAAATTTTAAATCCTTCGTCCATGTATTTTCCCATTATTCAAACCTCACGTTATATCCAAAATTCCTTGCCCACTGAATCATGTAATGTTCTACAAGTTCATTTTCCAGATTCAATTTTATAGATCTTAGCAATAATATGTTGTTTCCACATAATAAAATTTCCCATTCATTTTTAACAACATACGTTCTATCTTTTTTCTTGTATGCAGCAGCAATAAGTTGAAAAGGGGATTGGGAGGAGGGGGAGAAATAATCCACCCCAAAAAAGTTTTGCAGCAGGAATAGGTTGTGGCCATGGAAAAGGCCTGTTCCGCTTGCAGAGCAGTTATCAAGCTGCCAGCGCAAGTGATGTTGGAATAGATCTCTGATTTGCAAACATTTCTCTCCCGCCATCCAATACTGCATAAGCAACATTTCCAAACAAGTCTTGTGGGCTGAAAGGTGTTCTTGGTACGCTTTCAGGAGAAACCTTTCTGTACACCTGGTGCTTTCAATCTACAGGTGGCTTAGGCATCTTATAATGACACCTGAAAGGGAATATGTTGCACCACACTGTTTAATTAGCTGGTGAAAATCATTGCAACAGGATGTGGTGATGGTCAGTTGGCTCGAATAGCTTTGGAAGATTTGACCAATGTATGGCTCAGATCTACCAGAGCCTGTTTGCCATTGTCCTAATAACTTTCTGGATCAGAGATAGCAATAGCACTTAGACTTATATACCATTTCACAGTGCTTTACAACCCCCTCTAAGCGGTTTACAGAGTCAGTCTATTGCCCCCCACAATCTGGGTCCTCATTTTACCGACCTCGGAAGGATGGAAGGCTGAGTCAACCTTGAGCTTGGTGAGATTTGAACTGCCAAATTGCAGTCAGCTGTCAGTCAGCAGAAGTAGCCTGCAGTACTGCATTCTAACCACTGCGCCACTGTGGCTCAGAGATAATCAATTTTGAAATAGCAGCAGCAGAAGTCTATGGCTTTCTCAACCCATTTTCCGGTTCCTTGATTTCCAGAGATAATGGTTTTTGATGGTACCAGAGCACACCTACTGTTCCTAATTTACTTAATCCAAATCAACTAGCAGTCACAGTGGAAATGGTCCCAGCCATCTTGTTTTGACGATGATGAGATGGATGGCCGATGTGAAAAGCTTCCGTCATGTAGTTGTGGCTCCCCTATTAGGTTTTTCAATTCTTCTCCGCAGTCAAGATCTTAATCCAACATTTTGTTTCCTACAGAGGCCAACGACCTGCCTCGGGCTCACGTCCAGGAGGTGGAGGCTCTTGGCAACTGGAACTTAGAGGCAAGCTTCCCCCAACCGGAAAGTAACACGGAGTCCTCAAGGTTAACAGACTTTATGAAATGTGTCTGTCATGAATTTGTCCTCCTTCTATGTGGCCATTCATGTTTGCCGGTCATCATCACATCCTGCGGTAAGGAATCCTGCCGCTTAATGACACACTGTGTGAAGATAAAGGTCTGAACCTTGAAAAGCAAGATCTGAGTCTTCAGAAGAACGCGAATACAAGCTGCTGAGACTTTGAGGTGGATTTATTGACTTTCATTGGGGTTTGTCTACTTGCAGGATTTAAGTGTGCAATGTTACTGTCACTGAAATGATCTTTCCACCCTTGCTGTGTCGTGCATGTTGCTGCCCTCTGTGGGGTTAGCAGCGTGCAGCCGTGTCTCTCCAGCCATAGAATTTACCTCCTATTTTGCTTTCAATCAGTTATCAGCTTCTGCACAGGCTTAAGAATGGGCAACGGAATCCCAAAAGCAGCTGTTTTGCTCTAATTTCCAGCTGCACTTGGATTCCGTTCCTTGCTCTTTTGCCCACTTCTCCAAGATTTCATTCATTCTCTCCTGTAACTTATGGTGTAGTGAACTATTTGGGGAGCCACTGGAAGAAACAATTTAAAAAATAAATAAAGCACAAAGACTCCATTCTATTCAACAATGAGAACTAAAAACTTTTTATTTTTAAACGATAGGCAATAAATTCAACATACACCAAAAAAGTCTGAGCTGACTATCCACCAAGAGTTACGGATGCCATAGGATTATTTTTTCAGTGGTAACAAATTAGACCTTGATTTAAAGAGACTGGTAGTTCTTAAATCAGCTAAATATCAAGGAGGAAGTAAATGTTGGGTAGAAGCATGAAACAATACTAATAACAAGTTTTTCTCCTGGTTGATTCAATCTTGGGAACAATCTGAAAGGTGAATTTTGCAGCTGTTCCTTCATGAGTTGTGCAGTCAACTTAAGGAATTAAGTTCAAAGCTGTTGCTATTGAGGGTGGCCTTCCCTACATGTGTTAGCACCGCAATTCTTAGCTATTTGGAGAGAAGATGATCTTTGTCATATAACCAAAGAGTGGACAACTAGCCAGGATGGAGAACTTATTTAAAAGCCAAGGCCTTGCTTGATTGGGGTTGGCTATCCTGTTGCACAGGGCCTTGTGGGCTTCCAGAGAGCACACCACAGTCTGTTGCTAAGTGTGGTGGTCATGTGACATTTAGTCTAAAGATTGCTTTGTTTAGCAACAACAATCCTGGCCCCAGTTAGGATAATTCAATGAGGACTACTTGTACTTCCAATGGAGTATTAGTGAAAGAACGTCCTTTCTGTTGAAGGTGGGAACTTGTGAAAGGGAACAGGCTGAGTATGGTACTGTTGATAACTTGAGCTATAGCATTGTGTGTGTTTGTGGAGGAGGAACTCCTTTGGGTTTCCTCATACTTTTCTGTGCAGTGGTGATAAAAAACTGCTTCCTGGACAGAAGTCAGTAGAGCTGGGCCTGAAAATGTTGCAGTAGGCCCAGAGTTTCCCTTTACAGAATGGTAAGGCAAAATGAGCAGGATATATACCGAAGTAGGCACGAATTTTCCCAAATTCAGACAAATAATGAGTTTGGAAATGGCCTGGCTGAGTGGACCCTAGTGCCTGGGAGGATAGTATTTATTTTGTCTTTTCTTGGCCTTAGAAACTAAGCCAGATCAGATCTGGTTACTCTAAAAAAATAGCTGGACAAGGCTAGACTCTGAAGTGGGGGGAAAAATCTCCAAAGAAGGAAAAAATTCTCATTGCTACCAGGAAAACAATGTGAATGGGATCGCATAATAAGGGGTTGGGGGGGGGGGTTTGATTAATTATTTCTAGGTAATCTCAGGAATAATCTTGAAAGGTGGTTTTTGCTGCATCAGGAGGGGTCAGTCTACATTTGGATACCTCAGAACATGCCCTGTGCTCATGGTGAGGTCAAAGGAGTTCCTTCAACATGTCTTTATTTATTTGCCCAATTTCTATAGCCTCCCTTCATATCACGTGACCATTCAAAGTTATGATAGCCCTCCACAGGGCTATTTACAGCCCAATTTCAAAATGTTGACTTCTAGTCATGTGATCACATTTTGTGTGCTTGGTAACTGGGCGAAATTTAGAGCTGTTTGCAGCACCCTGTTATGTAATCATGGTTTACAGTGTTTTTGCAAGAGCTGGTGTTTTATTTCTGCTTTCCAGCAAAAAAAAAAAAAAAAAAGTCCATTGAGTGCAATGGATTTGCTTAATGAATCCCAGGTTCACTTAACAACTGTCACGAAAGAGGTCATAAAAATCAGGTGTAGTCACATGGTGGCTCAACTACCAGCATGAGTTATGATCGTAATTCTGGGTTCAGTTACAATCATGAGTCCAGGGCTACCTTGTACCTCTTTCTACCTGTATTTCCTCCCTCCAGCTTGCATCATAAATAGTTATGGGTTCTTGTTCTGGGATAAAAAAGATCATGGTGCCTCTAGATTTTGCTGAATGACACTTCCCTGTAGGGTTGATAAGGCAGGCTAAGGCTGCTGTGGGGATTGACATCTTTCTACTCCTTTTACAAAGTCAGCAGGAGAACAGCTGAGACTTCTTACCAAAAGAAGTTTTTTTTTTCAGACTTAAGACACTGTTGTCATTAAATCACATTAATGACAAAGTATGTGCTTCAGATTAGCCTTGTTGAGTTTGTTGTTCTCCAAATGGATTGAATGCTATCTTCCTGACTGTAAAATAAGGTCTGATACCTCTGGAGGATATTAAGTTGGGGTAAGTAGCCTCAAAGCCCACTTTTTTTTTTTTTTGAGTGGATGATTTGTTGGGCTTGTCAAGTCAATTTACAAGAGACATCATTGCAATGGATCCAGGATGTTTTTTCAGTATCTGCCTCTTTATTTGACATATTTCACTAGTGTTGCTTCTTTTCTTAGGAATAGGTAGACAAGGCAAAAAGCAGGAAGAGGGATGCATGCATGTGGGAACACCTCCATCGTGGATCAGATTCCTAGATGCTCAGGTCTGGAGGAAGATTTCGGGAGGAGAAATTGCCAAGGAATGACACGATCACTCCCGCTGAGCGAGTGGACACAGAGCCACGGGGCTGTCGTGTCTGTCCTGAGCTTTTTCCAAGATCCCGGATGAGCACATGAAAGGGGCTGGAAGCATCTGCAGTTGTGTGATGCTATTTGTGTCTGGTCTCTCATTTGCAGTAGAATAACTGGGAAGAAAGAGATTGTGTTCAGACAATATTCAGTTAGTTAATCCAGTTGCTTGTTTGTATACTACCCTGAACCATACACCAATAAATTGCATTTTAGCCTAATGTGTGAACAGAGTCATTAACCATCTAGATACAATTTTCCCTACAGTCATTTCCATATTGGTGATTTTTAGAATCTTACGGTGTTACAGGTAGTCCTTGACTTATGTCCGTTCATTGAACATTCATTTGAAATTAAAACGGTGTTGAAAAAAAAAAAAACTTAGAATCCATCCTCAAAGTTACAACCATCATATCACCCCTGTGGTTACAATTGCAATTTGGATGCTTGGTAACCACTGTGCCTTCATGATAAATGCAGCGTCCAGTCGTCATATTATGATTGGTGATCTTCCCAACCAATTTCCAATAAGCAAGATCATGGAGGAAGCTGGATTTGCTTAATGACCATATGATTTACTTAACCACATGATTGGTTTAATAACTACCATAAAGCATGGTTGTAAAATCAGGCATAGTAATATTATGACTTGCTTAGCAATTGACCATAATATTATAATGCTTGTTTTTTTAATAATTGATACATCATAGCACTAAATGATGCTATAAAGTAGCATAAATCACTACTTTGAAAGAGCCTCAAATTGCATAATGTTACACAATAAGAAAAAGAGAAGCAAAAAAAAATGGAGTTTTACCACTTTGAATATTATGCCCAACACAAATTTCTACCTCTTTTCATCAGAAAATATAATTGCAGTCTACCCAATATTTCATTGATTTAAAAGCAAAAATATTATAAACAATTAAATGGGTGGGGGAATAAAGTGGTTAAATTATTTGATCAAATATATCCAAGTTTTCCAACTTATTCTGATTGGTTTATATACCGGCCAAAATGGGAATTATCTTGTAACATTATTGTTTGCTAATAAAATATTTGTTTTAAAGGGTAAGCATTGATGTTTTTAGGTTTGCATATGGGAGTAGGGAATCAAACATTTTTCTAAATGGCAGATGATGGACACCTGTTAATAAAAAAATGGTCCAGATCCTCTTTGTGATTTTTGAAATCACAAAGATACATTATAAATAGAAATTCCTGCCCTGCTATCATCAAGATGCACTGAATGTCAGCGTCGATCATTTTTGTATTTTGACCATGCCAAACAAATGGTAAGTAACCATGCAATGTTGTCTTTCACCCAATTAGAGTACTGGTAAAATTAACCCCAAAATTATTTGCTTTGATGGTTTGATGGAATCCAGGCAGGATTCCAATTTGAGGCCATTATACAGCCGTGTCTTTGAACTGGAAAAAATTGGCAGTGAGTTTTGTGGATAAAATAATATGCATGCTTATCGGCTGCCACATTCCCATAATAGCTATTTATATTAGTACCTCCAATCTTAAACACTGATTTAGAATCCATTTTTTATGGGGTCAGATTTGGCTATGAACAAATTGCATTTTTGCCTAGGGTGTTAATAGTTTGCTAGGTCAGCTCTTCCACTGTAGCTAAGGATCCTGAGGTTGGAATAAACAATAGTAGTGATTGGGCAGATGAGAGAAGCAACATCATGGTGAAAGAGTTTTGACTTGTCAGTCTGCTGCCCTCTTCCATTAGTGGTGGTTTTTATCTATCCAAAGATAAACGGTTCAATGGTTCAGATTGTATGAGTTAAGAAATATATGGGAAAAGGCCATTCTGTACCTCATGTTGCCTCTCCAGTTGAAGCAAAAGGAACTCAAGATGGTACTAATTTTTACCGATTCTAGACTGAGATGAGCCAATTTCATTTGTGCATTTATATTCAGCAGCAGACGTGTCCCACTAAGTTTACAAATCACACATAGGATTGTAGCAGCAATGGGATTTGAACAGCAACCATCAGTAATAGAAGAATAGTGCAATATTGTTAATACAATAATAAAGTTTTTTTGTTAATTGCATCTTAGATGCACAATTATCCATTTTAAACATGTAATACAAAAATTGGCATTTTTAAAAGGTGAGAACAATGCAAATATATCTGTACTAGGCCTCAGATGGCAGCATTATATCAGTAGACTAACGGTTCTACTAGACCCACAATAGTTTTTATTACTGCAACTGTCCTCATGTCACACACACACACACCCCGCAAAGGATGCAAATTATGAGCATGCAGAGAAGAACTGAACACCCAACATCTTCCATCACTGCTGACAGTCAGTAGTTGGTCTGGGGTAAGCAGGAAATCTCAGATCATCTCTTGACTGTGGATGGTGTAGGGGAATTTCTTCCCCTTTTCTGACAACCGAAAGAAAAAATAGTGAAATGAGAAATGAAAAACTAGAATGAAGTTATCTGTGAACTCGCTAAAACATAAATAAAATATGTATTGCTGCTCAAAATAAACCCCTGAAATTTGTGATCTATCTCTTTTCAAATGAATCAGAACTCTTGCTTCCTGGTTTGTAATAACAATTTTCTGCTATTTATGGAGGGAAAGTAGCACGCAGAATTTTCCACAATGGAAAATCATCATCCTCGTTGACTTGCATTCCCCAGCACTGCACATACATGCGCATGTACACGCGCGTGCGCGCACACACACACACTCTCCCTACTGGTGTTAACTCATAAAATTTAAATTTATCTGCATTCCTAAAAGTTAAAAATGCAAAAAGGAAGAAGAATGCCGAACTTACAGACAGTGCAAATTGGATCAAATGTTTCTGCTAATTTGTAATGTCATAGTCCCAGGAAGAAAGCATTGGCAAGCCATTTCTAAAATCTTGCTAAAAAAAAAACCTGCAGGGACTTGCTCAGACAATTGCTAGAAGTCAACACAAAGGCACCAAAGAGAAAGAAAAATGATTAAATACATAAGAAGCAATCCTATTGTTGGTTCAAATGTTGTTTCTGTTTTTGGCCTATCTACTTTTATGTGTGCATTCCTGGGATACATTATTCAATGGCCAAATGTAGTTATCTACCAGAAATGTATTGCTTTCACTTAATCATTCTAATTCTGCCTACTCTGAAGAGCTGAATGCCAAGCAAGACTCAAATATGGTTGCAAAAACCCTTTACACATTCAGTGAATTTGGTGTTTAAGCTATCTAGCAATACATACAGAACATCCTTTCGATTGGCAGGGAAGAGCTGATCATGTGGAGAAAAAACTCTATTTTCTCAGCCTTGTGTCAGAAAGAAGGAATTCTAGCTTTCAGGAACAAGCTACTAAAGCAACAATTCACTTGGTGAAATTTGAAAAGTGTGCAAGAAAGGATAGTTTGAGGTTTATTTGATATCTGGGTTTGAAACTATGCTTTTGGATTTGAGGCCACTGGAGAAAAGTAAAAAAATGAGAGAAGAGGGTTAGATCCCTTAGATCCAGAATTCCTTAATTTGGCTCAATAGTTGAAAAGTGCTTTTAGAGGACTATTTTAATCAAAAAGGAATCCTAAAAAAAACAGCCTAAAGTGCCAACTATATATAAACATTTATTTTGCACATACGGTTTTAAAAAGGAAATGGCCAAGGCCATGAAGAGACAAAGCAAAATAAGATTGCTGTTGAGACCAAGGAAGCTCAGCAAGTACAATTTTTCTTCCCTGTGTGTGGCTGATAAGCTGTAACTAAGAAAAAAATTAAAAGCAATCTGCGTCTTCTTTTTCTGCTGGGAAATAAAAGAGAGATGTGGATGCTTATAATCCGAATAACAGCTTTATCTTCATGTGGCATCATAAAGTTGTCAACACTGAAGTTAATGCAGCAAAGCCCATAAAAGCCTGAGTTTGCTAGATGGATACACACACACACCCTGTATTTTCAAATCTCAAAATTATAATATACGAGTTTCAGATACAGGTTAGTCCAGTGTTTCTCAGGCTGCTTTCAGATGTTTTGACTTCAACTCCCAGAATTCCCTAGCCACACATCTGAAAGCCGCCAAGGTTGAGAAACGTTGCATTAGTCCAGGGGTCCCCAAACTTGGCAACTTTAAGACTTGTGGACTTCAACTGGAGAATTCTGAGGGTGGAAGTCCACAAGTCTTAAAGTTGCCAAGTTTGCGGATCCCTGCATTAGTCTAAGACCCAACGAGACTTCGTATCTTCCAAGGAGAAAGAAGAACAGCACGAAAGTGCGCCTTGTTAATTTATTTAAAAATTAAATGCAGAAGTAAACGGAGTAACTCCCATTCCACTTCGGAAGTAGTAGACCAGTGAGAAGTAGCAAAACACGCCGTTCTATACAGATCTTTTTTTTTTTTCTTTTTCCCCGGGACTTTTCTTTCCCAACGTCACTTCCGTCAAGCTCGTGCAAGGAAACCCCCCCTCGGTTCCTGCCCTCGCGAAGAGCACCGTAGAGCGTTTCCCTCCGCCCCTCCCTCTGTCGCTATGGAGACAACCGACAGCCGGCTGCGCGTGCCAGAGACCCTGGCGGCGTTCAACGCCGTTCTGAAAGGAAAGGCCGGAGATGGAGCTCGTGCCTCCCTTTGGTTCAAAGAGAGCAGCGCCCGAAATTTGCGGAGCCGGGACTTCCTGGCCCCCAGGGCCGCTCTGAGGGCCATCTTCGCGAACGGACAGGTGGGAGGCGGGGCTAAAACAGGAGCGGGGCATTGAGACGAAAAGGGCGGGCTGACTGACCGTGAGGAGAAAAAAGCTGCGACGTTATTAGTTAACGGTCTGTTAACGAAGAGATTCTCGGTCATCCAGATCATGGTTGTCCCAAAGGTGCTTGTTTTTTCAGGAGGCAGCTGGACTTCCTTGTTTTTTTCTCTTTCTTTTGAAGTCCTTTCGCTTCTCATCCAAGAAGCTTCTTCAGCTCTGACTGGATGGTGGGGAATGGAAGGATTTATATTCCTTGCAGACAGCTGGTCGTCTTCATCCTTTTTGAGGGTCCTTGAAGCACTTGGAGATTTAGTGCTAATGTTTCCTGTAGTCTGCAATTTTTCTGGAAATCTGTTCATACTCCCACACCATTCGAAGGGAGTCCATCCCAAATTGCATAGTCTAGAGATTCTCAGTCATCTAGGTCAGGGGTCTCCAAACTTGGCAACTTTAAGACTTGTGGACTTCAACTCCCAGAATTCCCCAACCAGAA